ACTTTTTTTAGCCCGAAAATAAAAATTGTCGAACTGTTTACCATGGTCCTTAATACCCCCCCCCCCGGTAGTCCAATTGGGTGGGTGGAACCATCCAATTTTCCTTTAAACGACCAATTTACCGGATTACAACTTGCACCAATTTCATCAACTCATGCCTACCACGAACATTTATGACAACAAATAATGATCATATATGGTTCAAAATGACATTATATGAACCTGAGATGTATTCCCTAGAATCTCAAGACTTTTCGATACGGGGCCCCGAAACCTCTAAAATTTCTCAAAAAGCGTGGATAGTAGCCTTTATTTTTGGAATTTTTTAGACTTTTTTCGCCCGGAAATAATAATTTCCGAAATGTTTACCATGTTCCCTTATACCTTTCGGGAGTCCAATTGGGTGGGTGGAACCATCCAATTTTCCTTTAAACATCCTATTTACCGGTGTATGACTTGCACCGATTTCATTAAATCAAGCCTACCACGAACATTTATGACAACATATTGATCATATATGGTTCAAAACGTCATTATATGATCCCGAGGTGTATTCCCTAAAATCTTAAGGCTTTTCGACACCGTGCCCCGAAACCTCCAAAATTTCTAAAAAAGCGTGGATATAAGCCTTCAATTTTGGAATTTTTTGATATTTTTGCCCGGAAATAAAAATTGCCGAAATTTTTACCATGATCCCTAATACATTCTGGGAGTCCAATTGGGTGGGTTGAACTATCCAATTTGCCTTTTAATGACCAATTTACCGGTTTATAACTTGCACCGATTTCATTAAATCAAGCTTACCACGAACATTTATGACAACATATAACGATCATAAATGGCTCCAAACGACATTATATAACCGCGAGATGTATCCTCTAGAATTTCAAGACTTTTCGACACCGGGCCCTGAGTCCTCCAAAATTTCTCAAAAAGCGTGGATATTAGCCTTCAAATTTGTAATTTTTAACTTTTTATCGCTCGGAAATAAAAATTGTCGAAATGTTTACCATGATCCCTAATACCTTCCAGGAGTCCCATTGGGTGGTTGGAACCATCCAATTGCCTTTAAACGACCAATTTACCGATTTACAACTTGCACCGATTTCATTAACTCAAGCCTACTACGAACATTTATAACAACAAATAATGATCATATATGGTTCCAAACGGCATTATATATGACCCCAATATGTATCCCCTAGCTAGAATTTCAAGACTTTTTTACACCGGGCTCCGAAACCTTTAAAATTTCTCAAAAAGCATGGATATTAGTCTTCAATTTTGGAATTTTTTTTTATTTTTTTTTCGCCCGGGAATAAAAATTGCTGAAATGTTTACCATGTTCCCTAATATCCTCCGAGAGTCCAATTGGGTTGGCCGAACCATCCAATTTGCCTTGAAACGACCAATTTATCGGTTTACAACTTGCACGGATTTCATTAACTCAAGCATATTACGAATATTTATGACAACATGTAATGATCATATATGGTTTCAAACGGCATTATATGACCCCGATATGTATCCCATAGAATTTCAAGACTTTTCGACACCGGGTCCCGAAACCTCCAAAATTTCTTAAAAAGCTTGGATAAGCCTTCAATTTTTGAATTTTTTGGCTTTTTTTTTTCCCGAAATAAAAATTGCCGAAATGTTTACCATGGTCCTTAATATCCTACGGGAGTCCAATTGGGTGTGTGGAACCATCTAATTTGTTGTTAAACGGCCAATTTACCGGTTTACAACTAGCACCTATTTACCGGTTTACAATGGCCAATTTAATTAACTTGCACCGAACCCGACTTGAACCGAAATTGACCATAATTTGTTTTAACACGTCAAAACCCGAATTTAACCCGACTTGTAACTAACCTGACCTGAATTCAGCCCGACCCGTTCCTAACCCGACCCAAATTTAACCAAACTTGTTACAAACCCGACCCGAAATCAACCCGACTTGTTATTGACCTGACCCAAATTCAACCCGACTTGTTCTTGACCCAACCCGAATTTTACCACACCTATTACTTACCTGACCCAAAAATTCAACCCAATCTGTTACTAACCCGACTTGAAATTAACGCGACTTGTTATTGACTCGACCTAAATTCAACCCAAATGATTCATGATGACCCGATTTCAAATCACCTTAAATGCAATTTAGACCACCTAATTATTATTGATCAAAACATTTTGTCTAGGGAGATCAAGTCGGTCCAGGCCAGCAAAAGAAAGAAGCATCATCCTCAAATTTAAGAGTTAAATATAGTATATATTTGTTGTATGGTTAAAGGAGATAATTATCTTCCTAAATTATAGACTATAATTCCCTAGTATATTGTCATATATATTAAAGTCAAATTAAAGGAAATAATTAGCTTGATAAAAATGATAATTATCTATTTATAGTTAGTTAAACCCGAATATGACCTGACTTGGAAATGACCCGACCTGATTGTTACCTGCAAATTATTGACTTGAACATAACCCGACTTGAATCCGAGAATGACCCGACTTGCAAATGACCCAACCTGATTATAACCCGCAAATTATTGACTTGAACCGAACCTGACTTGAACCCGAGAATGACTGGACTTGAAAATGACCCGACCTGATTATAATCCGTAAATTATTGACTATTAAAACTCGAGAATGACCCAACCTGATTCTAACAGCAAATTATTGACTTGAACCAAACCTGACTCGAACCCGAGAATTACTTAATCAGTTTTAACCCGTGAAAACCTGAATTAAACCCGACCTATTGTTCACCCGTCCCGAATGTAACTCGACTTGTTATTAAACCGACCCAGACCCGATAAGAAGTATGACCCAACCCAAACCCACCCGCATAGGTTATGGAATTAATCCGAATTGACCCGACCCACTATTACCCGACCCGTTTATCCAAATTGATAGCTCTACTCACAAGTGGATTACAATGAGTTTCAACATTTTGTGATCTAGTACTATTTTTACCAACAAATCATTTATATCACAAAAAGAAAAGAAAAAAGTTTTTATAACCCTAAGTCCCTAACTCACCTTAATTCTCTACAGAAAACGAACAACTACATCATCGACTAACAACTCCATCATAGGATGACAGGAATACTACCTACTCATGTAAATTCATTAAAATTAACAGCAAAAATTTAACACAAACTAAAGAAAATGGATCGGAAATTAGATTATTTCTAGTGTGATGGCCAAAAAACACGGCTTATATCTTTTACATATGAATGTATGATCAATATAAGAACTTAAGAAGTAAAGAGATCAAATTAGTGGTGGTTAATCTGTCAAAAGAAAAGTGCTTCAAAGTTGACATGGTAATTGGGCTTTGTGGGTTGGGCTGCTTATGATGTGAAGAAGATGTTACAAATGCTGGCCTTTTATTTTTTTATAAAATAACCCAAAAAATTTAAAAAACACAAATTGTTGAGAGTGGGATTTGAACCCACGCCCTTTCGGACCAGAACCTTAATCTGGCGCCTTAGACCAACTCGGCCATCTCAACGTTGTGCTCTTTGTTTGAGGAGAAAGAAATATAAACCGTACTGTTTATTGAGTAAAATTTCTGTTCTACTTTCGGAATATTATTGTTTTTATTTTTTAAAAACTAAAAACCTCAAATGGACCTATTAAAGAAATGTTGTTCTCTTCACCTTATTTTTGCTGAAATTTTTTTTTTTTTTTACTAAAATGATTTTTTTTGCTAGACTTAAAATTTTTTAAATGGTAATTTTTTCTTACTAATTAAAACTTATTTTTACTAACTAGAAATATACTTACTGAATATGAAGTACTTTTACGGTAAAGGGCTTAAATTGATTGCTATAAAACATAGTTTAATATAATTTATTACTCTATTGCTTATAACCTATAAAATACAAAGTAATGTTTATTATAGGAAATTTTGTGGACAAATTGTTGTATTTATACTTTTTTTGATAGGAAATTAAGATAAAGGGTACTAGAATGTCAATACTCCAAATAAGTCAACTTAGCAGGATGAACATCTTGGACAATTAGGGAGAGTGGAGAAAAAATAAAGGGAATTTCCTCTATCAAATTGTCTCACTTTTAATGGAGGTTGAACCTTCAATCGCATAGCTAGATGATAATCTCCTTCCGCTAAGGTAAGCTTATTTTGAGATAATAGTTGCACGTATCAAATATATGGTTTCTCTCTTCATTATTGAAAACAATGAAATAAAAAAAAGTTGTATTTGTGCAATGGTGGTCTAGTGGATCTGGATTTTTAAATTTGATATCTTAAGTGTTTTAGTATCTAACACACTTTCGACGAACACATGCATGATACATGCACTGATTTAATAGACCAGTAGTATATACCATCTATAGTTTTGATATCAGCTTTAATGTTAATTTATTTTGACATCAACTTTAATATTAATTTAATGTTAATTAGTTATTTTGATACGAAGTATAAACTACTCCGTATTGAACAATGCTAATTCTATCAACTTTAGATCTTTTTCCAATGTTGTATTTACATTTTCCAATAGTTACCCTTACATCACTAGCATTAAGAAAACATATTATTGTGTATCATGCCCAAATCTAGTTTGATTTGCTTGAATGAGTTTTGTATATATTAATGAAGCATAGCTGAGTTAGTGGCCTTAGTGCATAAACAAAGTTGGAAGTGTTTTCAAAATTCAATTCCTATCAAAGCACTTGTTGCATATGGAATCTTGTTTTGTCATGGAGACCTTGTTTTGGTAAGTTGTTTGGATGTTGTCATGCATAAATTGTTTTGCTTCATGTTTACTACTACGATACAACTTCGCTTTATTAGGAGAGATATGTTCGTTGTTTACACACTAAAACTAAAATGTTATATTGATCCAAAATTGAATCGATTGACACAACATATTTGAAATAAATTCAAAATCCCAAAAATGAAATGTACCCTTTTAATTTCAACCTAATTGTATTATTGATCCAACTCTTACCTGACCCATATAGACGATTTCTTATTAAAATTCTAATGAGTAAATATTCAATTGCTACAACCAACGTAGGAACTATTAGCAAGCAAACACCTAATGACCTAGGACAATGAGCATGTGGTTTTAAATTATCTCAAAATTCACCCTTTAAACCATCATTATTATAACAACAATAATAATTAATATTATTTTTAAAGATAAAAAAAATCATATGCCCATTAGATTATCATGCATCCCACCCCTCTCTCACATGAACCTTACTCCCCAATAAAAATATCCCTCAAATTTAATAAACACTCACACCCAAAAACAAAAATTATAAAGAAAAAAAAAATCTACAAAAAAATAGAAGAAAGAACATAAAAAAAAGGTAACAAATTAAAACCTAAACCTAATAAAGGAAACAAGAACACCCAAAAATAATTAAATTTTTTAAAAAGGAAAGAAATAAAAATTCCATAGCAATGAAGCAGCTGCAAAACCTCCAACAACAACAAACCTCATCTTCTTCATCTATGTCGTCATCATCGGAAGCTGTTTCTCTCTCCTCTCTTCCTCCGACCACCGCCGATCCTCCGTCGGCGATGTCTTCGTCGGAAGATTTATCGGCGCCGTCAACCGCCACCGGCGGCCAAGAATCGATCGTCGTTGAACGTCGTGGTGATTTCTCCGCAATTTGTCGTTGGACCGTCGCTAATTTCCCTAAAATCAAAGCTAGGGCACTTTGGAGCAAGTATTTTGAGGTCGGAGGTTTTGATTGTCGTCTTCTTGTTTATCCTAAAGGTGATTCTCAAGCTTTACCTGGTTATATTTCGATTTATCTGCAAATTGTGGACCCTACTAAATCCCCTTCAAATTCTTTGAGATGGGAATGTTTTACTAGTTATAGATTATCTGTTGTTAATTTGTTGGATGATTCGAAAACTATACATAGGGATTCTTGGCATAGGTTTAGTAGTAAGAAGAAATCGCATGGTTGGTGTGATTTTACGCCTTCCAATTGTATTCTTGATTCTAAAGGAGGGTTTGTGTTTAATGGGGATTCTATTTTGATAATGGCGGATATTTTGATACTTAATGAGAGTGTTAATTTTACTAGGGATAATAATAATAGTAGTAATAGCAGTAGTAGTAGTAATAATAATGAGGTGCAATGTGGGGCTGGCGGCGGAGGAGGGGGGATTTCCGGGTTGGGGAACGTTGGGCCGTCTTCGTCTGATGTGTTGAGTGGAAAGTTTACTTGGAAAGTTCATAATTTTAGTTTGTTTAAGGAGATGATTAAGACGCAGAAGATTATGAGCCCGGTGTTTCCTGCTGGGGAGTGTAATTTGAGGATTAGTGTGTACCAGAGCTCGGTCAATGGGGTGGAGCATTTGTCCATGTGTTTGGAGAGTAAGGATACGGAGAAGAGTAGTGGTACGACGGTGCTGCTGTCTGAGAGGAGTTGTTGGTGTTTGTTTAGGATGTCGGTATTGAATCAGAAGCAGGGGTTGAATCATATGCAGAGGGACTCGTATGGGAGGTTTGCAGCAGATAATAAGAGTGGGGATAATACAAGCTTGGGGTGGAATGATTATATGAAGATGTTGGATTTTGTTGGCCCGGATGCAGGGTTTTTGGTAGATGATACTGCGGTTTTCAGCACTTCGTTCCACGTTATTAAGGAGTTTAGTAGTTTTTCTAAGAATGGGACTGCTCTAGGAGCGAGGGTTGGAAGTGGTGGCTCGAGGAAGGCAGATAGCCATAGTGGGAAGTTCACTTGGAGGATTGACAATTTTACCAGATTGAAGGACCTTCTGAAGAAAAGAAAGATAACTGGGCTCTGCATTAAGAGCAGGAGGTTTCAGATTGGCAATCGAGACTGTCGCCTTATTGTATATCCTCGAGGTATGTGAATCTTTAATCTTCACAACTGATTATTTCTCGAGCTACCCATATCTTCTGTTTTTAATGCTCATGATGCATATGAAGACACTGTTTGTCTTGTTGGAAACCTTATGCCTTAAAGTTGTATTTGAATTTAGTAGACGGATTATGATTTTCAACCTTTCCTGTATTCTAATTCCAGTTCATGTCAAATATTCTTTAAAGATTGTTTATGTTTGTTACTCTTAAGCTTTATGCCATAAAGATGCAAGCTTTAATTATTTCCCCAACCAGTAATTTATTTTATTAACTATTGTAAGGAGAAAATGGTTATTTAATGACTCATTTTACATTCGAAACTTTTAGTGGAAAGTGTCATGGACCCAACCTTATGAACCTGTGATTTGAAGTGTCATTCCTCACAATCCATGTCCTTTTGCATTATTTGGAGGGGGCTGGGGTGCAAGTGTATATTGCTGGCCTTGTAGGTATTTCAAGTTTCATTTTTCAAATAATTAAGTGCTGAACTTTTGTGATGGTTTTTTCTTCCCAATTCCTGCAAAATCTTACACTCTTGTGCTATCAGGGCAGTCTCAGCCTCCGTGTCACCTTTCTGTATTTCTTGAGGTTACGGATTCACGAAATACCTCCAGTGATTGGAGTTGCTTTGTTAGTCATAGGCTATCAGTTGTGAACCAGAAGATTGAGGAAAAATCTGTGACAAAAGAATCTCAAAATCGCTACTCCAAAGCTGCTAAGGATTGGGGCTGGCGTGAATTTGTTACACTTACTAGCCTGTTTGATCAAGACTCAGGGTTCCTTGTGCAGGATAGTGTTATTTTCTCAGCAGAGGTTCTTATTTTGAAGGAAACCTCCGTCACGGAGGACTTCTCTGAGAACGGTTCTGAGAATGATAGCACTGGGAAGAAAAGTTCGTTTACCTGGAAAGTTGAAAACTTCATGTCCTTCAAGGAAATAATGGAAACCCGTAAAATCTTCAGCAAATTCTTTCAGGCTGGTGGATGTGAGCTACGCATTGGTAAGTCTATAATCTTACGAAAATCTTTCCTGCTCCATGCTCTTTGTTGTATGGTTGATGATCATTAGTTAACGGCTTAAATTTTATGGCTCAGGTGTTTATGAGTCCTTCGACACCATATGCATATATCTGGAGAGTGATCAATCATCTGGAAGTGATCCTGATAAGAATTTTTGGGTTAGATACAGGATGGCCGTGGTGAATCAGAAGAATTCTTCCAGGACTGTTTGGAAGGAGTCCTCTATATGTACAAAGACTTGGAACAATTCTGTTCTCCAGTTCATGAAGGTTTCTGACATACTAGAACCAGATGCTGGGTTTCTTTTGCGAGATAGTGTGGTTTTTGTCTGTGAAATCTTGGATTGCTGTCCTTGGTTTGAGTTCTCTGACTTGGAGGTAAATGGACAATCTGATTTCTTCCCATTGTGTTAATTAATGGTTTTCTGTTGTGTTAACGCTGTTGTATGGACTGTATTTGGTGGATGCTTACATTAAATGGTTTCCTATCTGTGGAATTAATAAAAAGAAGACAACAATGTAAAGGAATTAAAGACAACACAGATTGTTTAAGTATTCAGTTCCATCTGGTGATGTGTTATGCCCATGCTGTTTGTGGTAACTATGGTTCATAGTTGTCCACTTCTATGCAGCATAGGAAACTTCTTACCATTGCCTTAACAAAAAGAAAATATAATTCTTACTTTAATCTGACATTGGTTAGAATATTGTGGTTAATTTCTCAAATGGGCTCGATTATAGTTTTCAAGATTTTGTTAAGGCTGATTCAAGTCTTCTTGGGTAAAACACTAATTTGTTGATTTTTACTACGTATAAAACACTAATTTGTTAATAAAGGAATAATTCAATAAAACCCTTTTATACGTCACTTTTACATGAAACATTTTTGGTATTGAATCCTCAATCTAGTTTTATTCACCACTGGTGGAACATTACACAGATGTATAACTTGGAGATAAGCAAGACAGAGCTTGATTCCTTGGCATTATACTTCCAGAACCTGTGTAGATCATGCTACTGGTAGTGGGGGTAGTGTTTTGTATGTCAAATGGTGCTGATGCGTGGCTAATAATTTATTTTTTATTTATTTTTATTTTTTTGTGAAAAAAGATCCAAGAAACATTACTATAAGATCTATAGATAGTCGCTGGGGTTCCCTAACAAAACACCACCTTCATTTTCTAATAGTTAATTCTATTCTATAAGATCTATATCTCTAGTTATTTTATTTTATATTTTTTTAAGTAAATGTTAAGAAGTTTTTAATAGAATACATGTGAGGCTAATCCTATATAACCACTCCTAGTTTTATGTATTAAAAAAAAACATGTGGTGAAAGTTATTACATGAATAGTGTCAAAAGTCAAAATGGTTCAATTATTTTCAAACTGAGGTAGTAATACATAGGGTGTGTTCTATTCACTAGATTTTCACTAATATGAGCTTACCTATTGAACCTGCCTATACTTATCTGTCTAAACTTGCAACTTATTTTAGTTTTAATTTGAACTTGAGTAAACCTTATCAAAACTTTTTTTCTCTAAACTTATGAAGTTATGAGTCCTAAAATAAGTGAAAATAATGTGAATTAAACAAAGCCTTAGCACAATTTAATAAAAACTATAATACTGTATTTCTGTAATTGATGAGATATTTTGATAGTGTACATAATATGATATAAGTCATATATCGAAAAAATTACTCATTTTGGCATGTAACTCTTTGTAAATGCCTTTAGCTCCTATCTTTTCCCGTTTTAGTATGGCTTATTAATTTAATCTTCTAGTTTACTAGAATTCCTAGGTGTATATGCTACAAGGAAACTGCTATTTCTTATCTTTTACCTGTTTTTATTTTTTTATTTTTTTTATTATTATTTTTTTAATATTTTTTACCTGTTCTATTTTTGTTACGACACCGAGGACAATGCCGAAACCAAAGCTAGTATTAAAATTGAATAAGGATTAATACGAGCTGTTTGAATTGACCAAGCATCTTAAAATTCTGCATGTCTTGTGATGTCATGTGCTACAACTTTTATTCAAATTTTTTGAACTTATTGATCCTTATCGAAACCTTTATAACCAGAAAGTCTGAAACAAATCTTTGAGATGAAAAGAACAAGGCCTTTATCTGAAGATTGTTAATGCCCTTGTCTGTTGTACTTCAACCACCATAATAACTGCGAGAGAAGGGAGATCTTTTTTGGTGTCTGATACTGTGATATGTGGAGCACCCAGAATTTAGTCATTTGAGATGTTGTTTCCCGTCTTTCATAGCTCAGTTCAAGTATGTTTATGGCTTTTTAAAATAAAGGTTGACACTACAGAAGAATAAATCTTGAGCAGAATTTTTTTAGGTTTTGAAAGCATGAGATAGATATTTCGAGCATTGTGGAAGGGAATATTTTTGGTAACTGCCCAATGATTCCCCAAAACTTTGTAAATTTATAAAATTGATAGCCTTTTTATGTATTATGAAGTATTATTACTATCATTTGACTACTTTGAAGTTGCAATGGGTATGGAGTCTGAGAATCAATGGGACATAGGCTTGAAACTTCAAAGGTGCAAGTAACCTATCTAACACCTTCGAACTAAAGCTTTCAAAACATATGGTGGCAGAGTGATAAGAGACCATTTTATGTACTACGTATTCTAAAAGGTTTTCTGATGGTCTGTAAATTACTGATTTTTTTTTTGGTTTGGCTGGATAGCTATGTTTTGAAGGGTATTCGGGTGCAGTTTTACTTTTCTCTGGCAAAAAGGGGATGATCGCATGTGTCCTTTTGACATTATTAGTTGTGTTTGTTCTTCCATTCCTTTAAACTCTCATGTCATGTTGTGTCTCTCTTGTCATACTCTTGCTTCCATTTGTCCTATCTTATGGGTATATCGGTCTGGAGAAAAAGAGTGATTGGATGCATGCTATAAAATTGTAGCAATTGTAGGTTTTCTCTGAGGAATTTATTTTTTGCTGGGGCAGGGGGAGATTGCCTCGGATCAAAATTTTCTTGGTTTTCCTTTTACTAACTATGAAATTATGAATTATTCCTTGCATGCTTCTCAGAGTTATCCATGGTTAACTTGTTGCAAATATCTGCTCTCATTTTGATCAGGTTCTTGCCTCTGAGGATGATCAGGATGCTCTGACAACTGACCCTGATGAACTGATAGACTCTGAAGATAGTGAAGGAATAAGCGGTGATGAAGAGGACATATTTAGAAAGCTTCTATCTAGAGCCGGGTTTCATCTTACATATGGGGACAATCCTTCACAACCGCAAGTCACTTTAAGAGAGAAACTTTTGATGGATGCTGGTGCTATAGCTGGTTTTTTAACTGGACTTCGTGTATATCTTGATGATCCCGTCAAAGTGAAGCGCTTACTTCTCCCTACCAAGTTTTCTGGTTCTAATGATGGAAAGAAGGTCTCCAAGTCAGAGGAATCATCCCCGAGTTTAATGAATTTGTTGATGGGAGTAAAAGTATTGCAGCAGGCTATTATTGATTTACTCCTGGATATAATGGTTGAATGTTGCCAGCCTTCAGAAGAAGGCTCTAATGATGATGTATGTGATGCAAACTCAAAGACTTCTCCAAATGATAATGGGGCTGTATCCCCTCTACATTTGGAAAGGGAAAATGGAGCAACAGAGCAAATGGAGCACCCTTTGTTTGAGAGATTGGATTCAGTAGCCAGTGGAAGTGTAAATTCTGCTGCTGTTCAAAGTACAAGGACGAGCACAGGTATGGGCACAACTGAAATTGATGTGCATGAAAAGTTTATTCCTGGACAGCCTACATGTCCACCAGAAACTTCTGCTCAGGTACCACCTGAAACAGCTTCTCTCCGCTCAAAGGTAATTTTTCTTGCTCTTAAAAAATATTATACTGATTTACTGAGTGTTGGATGAGTATGTTTTTGATTTCTTGTTTCTTCTTCTTCAGACTAAGTGGCCTGAGCAATCTGAGGAGCTGTTAGGACTCATTGTTAATTCCTTGAGAGCACTGGATGGAGCTGTTCCTCAAGGCTGTCCCGAGCCAAGACGAAGACCTCAATCTGCTCAAAAGATTGCTCTTGTTTTGGATAAAGCTCCTAAGCATTTGCAACTGGACCTTGTCGCTTTAGTGCCCAAATTGGTTGAGCCTTCCGAGCACCCTCTTGCAGCTTTTGCGCTTCTTGAAAGACTTCAGAAGCCTGACGTTGAACCGGAGTTGAGGTTACCTGTAAGATAATCTTCTTAAAGTGCTCTATCTCATTCTTGTATGGTTAAATTTTGTCCTAATCCTGTCTAAGTTCTCTATAGTAACCATCAGGTTCCTAAAGTTTTTCGTTTCTCCCATTTGCCTGATAGAATTCTGTTCCATATTTTGTGACTTTCATTGATGTTTTTGAAATTATCAATAGGTCTTTGGTGCTTTAAGTCAATTGGAGTGCAGCAGTGAGGTCTGGGAACAAGTTTTGTTTCAGTCTTTTGCACTTCTGGCAGAGTCAAATGATGAACCTCTGGCAGCTACAATAAATTTCATATTGAAGGCTGCAACTCATTGCCAGCATCTTCCAGAAGCTGTGAGTAACTTTTTTATATAACTTTGGGGCAATTTCCTTGTGGCAATGTACTTGCTTTAATTAATGTATTTAATGCTGTCTATTATTCCTCGCTTTAGGTCAGGTCTCTCCGTGTAAGGTTTAAACAACTGGGACCAGATGTTTCTCCTTGTGTTCTCGACTTTCTAACTAGGACTGTACATAGTTGGGCTGATGTTTCGGAAGCTATACTTAGAGATATTGATTCCGATGATGATTGTGGTGTAAATTGTTCTTCATTGCCTAATGGGGTGTTCTTTTTTGGTGAAAATGGTCCCCCTTCGGAAATCTTGACTGTGATGAATGAGCGTTCATTCTGTGGTAGTCATCATTTTTCTGATATCTACCTCCTGATTGAAATGTTATCCATACCTTGCCTTGCTGTTGATGCTTCTCAGACGTTTGAGAAAGCTGTGTTTCGAGGGGCCATAATGGCTCCATCTGTAGCAATGGTCTTAGAAAGACGTCATTCTCAAAGATCTGGGTATAATGCAAGATATCTTGCTGAAGCATTGCAGCACACAGAGGCAGTAGTAGAGGGAGAGGTCGATGAGCAGCTCATAGCCACACAAGATGATTTTACCACACTTCTTGGTCTGGCAGAGACTTTGGCACTGTCCGCTGATTCTCGTGTAAAAGGGTTTGTGAAGTTGCTTTATACTATCTTATTTAAATGGTATGCTGATGATTCCTATCGTGGGAGGATGCTGAAGAGATTGGTTGAACGTGCAACCTGTAGTGCGGATACTGCTAGAGAATTAGATTTAGATATGGAAGTCCTGGTACTTCTTGTCTGTGAGGAGCAAGAAATCATAAGACCAGTTCTTAGCATGATGCGGGAGGTTGCTGAACTTGCTAATGTTGATCGTGCAGCACTTTGGCATCAACTATGCTCTAGTGAAGACGAAATTGTCAGACTTCAAGAAGAATGGAAATCAGAAAAGACTAATTTGATTAATGAAAAAGCTATGATATTACAGAAGCTGAATGATTCTGAAGCGGCAAACTGTCGTCTCAAGGTACTTATGTGCTAATTTCAATCTACTTAATAATTCTTTGCATAATTTGATAGCTGACATTTTCATTGAATGCCAGGCTGAAATGAAGGCTGAGTTGGACCGTTTTGCTCGGGAAAAGAAGGAACTTTCAGAACAAATGCAGGATGTTGAAAGTCAACTTGATTGGCATCGTGCTGAGCGAGATGAGGAGATCACAAAGCTAGCTGCTGAGAAGAGAACACTGCATGATCGTCTTCATGATGCAGAGGTGCAGTTAGCTCAATTGAAGTCCAGGAAGCGCGATGAGCTAAAGGTGACTATCTGTCCTTAGGCTGAAAGAACCTGCCTTTTCCTATAGTTGCTATTAAATACGAAATAATTATAATGCTAAGATAGATATTGAATTGCCTAAATAATAGTGGTAGATTGGTAGTCATTCCTGGGAATACTTAATGCATGAAATCAAGTACTTTTACTATCTCTTTTCTACTTGTTTGAAATAAAAGTTGTGGTGGCGGTGGAGTTGGGTGCTATGACGTGATCATGGCTTAAATTTTGGCCTACATGTAATGTATTGGCTCTTAAGAGTTATTTGTTTTAGCTTGCAGAATCAATATTTCTTAGTTTTGAAGGACCATTATGCATCAGCTAATAGAGTTATCAGCTGATGAATTTGCTTATACAGGCCATTATGGCCTAAAAGTCATGAAACTTATTCTATGGAGTATTTTTCTTTGACATACGATAATTTACTTGGATCTTTTGTGAGACTTTAAAAAAATATAGTTCCATGATTGTGGCTGTCACTACAATTTTGAAACCAGTACTGATAAAAAGTAAAGTAGAATGGAATATGTTTATTGGTTCTATGTGCGGGTGGATAACAGGTAAATGATTTGTAATGTGTTGACATCACAATCCATGGCTGCTTAAGAGCTATCTCTCTGGCCTTCTCAATTGGTGTGATCATTGGAGGTGCTGACTTGAATTTGATGACATCTGTGGTGAATATTACAGAGAATAGTGAAGGAGAAAAATGCTCTTACCGAACGTTTAAAAAACGCCGAAGCTGCCAGGAAACGATTTGATGAAGAGTTGAAGCGATATGCGACGGAAAATGTGACTAGAGAGGAGATTAGGATATCATTGGAGGATGAAGTGCGTAGACTAACACAAACAGTTGGGCAAACCGAAGGGGAGAAGCGAGAGAAGGAGGAGCAAGTTGCTCGTTGTGAAGCATACATTGATGGAATGGAGTCAAAATTGCAGGCTTGCCAGGTATTTGCCTTAACTTTTGTTAGATCTGACAGCAAATATGTTCATATTTCATCATCCTAGTTCAGTGATTATTCCTATTTTGTAAATGCAATTTCCTTGTGCAATTTGTATGGCTTTATAATAAGATATTTCGTATGTTTTATTTTTGCTCCTGCTGGAAATTTTTGTCGTATAGTCATATACTATTTTAGGGTGTAATGGTTTGTGATGTGCATTTCCAAAATTCTCTTCTCAAAATTTTGGGGATAGATTATGTTAGTGAAACTGTCATATCCTTGATTACGAGGGGTTGTTATGTAACAATTCTTTAACTTGTCGTGTGATGAGTGGAGCAGTGTGCCAACAGCATCAGTGCTCAAAACTCTAGTGATCTTCTGCGATTTCTAGTTTAACCCCCTTGTTACTTCTGCTCCTGAACACATGAAACAATATTGACGAATAATATCTTTAAATCAATTAGTTAAAATTCTAAAATCTTAATATGTTGTATATGTACATTAAAAGTAACCCAATAACATCATTTCTACTAGAAGTAATAAATTTGTAAAAACGTAGAGAAAGCTAATACAAGTACATGAACAGTGGAATTATCAAAATGTTGCTTGTATATATAGAAATTGGGGGAGTGTTTCAAAAATTCAAAGTAATCGGAAAAGGTAGCCATTGCATTTAATTTCTATCTACTTTATATGTTTTACTGGTAGAAACAACTGTTTTGGTATTAATTCTAATCATTTTTATGCAGCAATACATCCATACGCTTGAGGCTTCACTTCAGGAAGAAATGTCACGGCATGCTCCTCTTTATGGTGCTGGCTTGGAGGCTCTTTCAACGGAGGAGCTTGAGACCTTGTCTGGAATTCACGAAGCAGGGTTACGGCAAATTCATGCCCTTCAACAACAGCGCAAGGGCTCTCCTTCTGGTAGTCCTCTTATTAGCCCACACGCACTTCCACATTCTCATGTATTATACTCCAATGTGTTGCCACATGCTGCACCACCTCCTTCATCCATGGCCGGTAATTTGCCCCCTAATCTCATCACAAACGGTGCTGGGATCCATGGCAATGGCCACGTAAATGGTGCAGTGGGACCTTGGTTCAAGCATTCTTAAAATAGCTGAGAAAGTGGTGGTTGCCCAGTTTTCTCGCTGGCCACTCACGCTTGAGGTTTTATTTGGTGGTTCTAGGGAAAAAAAGGGGTTTTATTCATTTTTTGGGGGGTCGATAGTGATTATGCCTCATCTTTGGCGTAACTACTGGTATTTCGGAGAGATCTTAGGGATACATATATAAGGGTAAATGAGGATGGCGACGTGTGGGTATAAGTTTTTGTATTTGCTAGAGGGGGGGTGTGTCTCTGTGAAACTAGTAGTTGCAAATGCCTACATTATTTCGTTCATCCTTTTTGCCTAAAAAGGTTAATTGAAAAAAGCTTCAAAAGTTTTGGTAGCTCCCTATTTCACATTATTGCTTTGATCAGACCCTGACTATGAATTTAGGTAATACGAAGGCTATTTATCTTTTGTAGATGGGCATGCAAAGCCATATATACAACCTTTTTTTATTTATTTAATTAATTAATTTATTAAGTGTTACAATCATAACAAACTTTATTTCAGGGTTATAAATTAGGAAAAAAAAACAGCAGCAGCAGCAAAAGAAAGAAGATATATTCCCTTTACATTTTGGGCTTGTTATATGCATGTAATGTCTTTTTTTTTTTTTTTTTTTTTCATTTAAACAAAATAAACGATAGCTTATGGTAAATTATTAGAGGCAGCCGGTAGATTAGTCATTTAGTTACCAGTCTAACCACTCGAGGGAATTGAAGGACTCTTGTTCTACGCAATCTTGTTCTGCGCAAACAAGAGGGGGTTTATGAGGTTTATCGTACATGCTATTTTGCTCATTCAAACTATTTTTTAGCAACGTTTTGACAGGGAGATAATTTTCCGACCACAACGACTCCACTCAGTAGGAACTACGAGATCACCCAAGGATGGATAATGAACTATCATTAGAGAGAAAGTTCCAACTAGAATAATGACATTTACTTAACCAATTATTCAAAATAACAGAAGAAAAGTTCCCGATTCAGAAGAACATTATATTTACAAACTGATCAGAACAAAAAAAAAAATTCTTCGGTGTGACCTCAAACAGTTAACGTTTGTATATCCTGTTGTCTGATCTGTTGATTAGATCAATATGAATGTAAAATAAATTTTAAACAAAATCCTATTATGATTTCTATATGTTACAAGTATTGTTACCTAAGTTTCAAGTTTAATCTCCTGAGCCATACTGAGTGCAATATCATATGAAAAACGTCAAACCTCTTTGCAGGGGTGTTAAGAACAAAATGCTGTCTGACAGCTCTGATCCCTTCAATTAGCCTTCTGTACTTCTCTTCTGGTATTGCTCTCAAAATCTCTTTCAACCTTGGAATGTCTTTGACATCTACCTCTATCGAAAACGCCTCCCATCTCAAAACATCACTGAATGGCAAAACGTAGTTTTTTGACAGTATAACTGGCACACATTCAGCATATATGGCTTCAACTATTCTTGGGCTAGCAACTTCATGACCACTAGGACAAAGGCAGAACTTAGACTGAAGCATCATAGTGTAGTAATCTAATTCCTTTGGGAGGTATTCGTGGACTTGCAGGTCAGGGTCCTGTCCCTTCCATTGACTAAGGAGAATAGGCCTTATCGGGCCATGGAGACCACCAGCAAAGAAGGCAAGGTATGGACGAGGGGAAGTTTTTCGAGGAATGGAGAGGAGTTTCGGAGAAATGTTGCCATCATATAGGTGGATTTCTGGTAGGCTCACATCCTTTTGTGGGTTGAAGCCTTCAGAGGAGTTTGCATTGCACAATACCCTGATGGATCTGTTGTAGAGATCTGAGTTTCCCCTTGAGGCATGAGGTCCCTGCAGCAAAGACACAAATTTGGTCAATTAGAGTATAAGTCAAGCATAATATATAATCATGAGTTGAATTAGCCAATTTCTCATATCAAAATAGTGCTAAGTTTCTAAGAGACGGGAGGTACCCAATCATGACAAGCCAGCATAAAGTGATCAGCCCCTTGTGTCCGATTCCAGAAGGGGTGCTTGGTGGAAATCACATTGACATAGTCCGAGACAAATTGATTGAGAGGAGTGACATCGTAGGACTTTGGCTTGTAAAGGTATTTCACCATCCATGTAACACTAAAAGGCATAAAGTGAATGTGGGCATGTTTGGGATCTCTTGTTCTGAACCGCGTACTTCCATGCTCAATCTCATGAATAAACCTCCCTTCAATAGTGTAGATATCCTTGCATGGTCCGTCATGTACGATAGGCAGATCACCCTCATCGTACACGTACACTTTCAATCTCCTTTCCATTTCTAGATAACTCCTGAAATGGGTTGCAATTGCATATATATAAAACGTAAATTAGTTACATACTTTTCCACCAGGGATAGTTGGGTATGAGTGTATCTGTGTATGGCAATCATATGCATTAATCGATGACCCATTTCACCCATCATCAAGATTACAAAGCACTTAATTTCTTGTAATTAGTTGTAGAGTTTATTTCAGGCACACTCAACACAATACAAATCCATGCTGTCACATTTGAGCTTAATCTTAGGCACTCAACTTATCTGTAATATCTGAGTGTAACCTAGAACTTATACTAAGCGTTTTCCTTTAACCAAAAAATAAAACATGATTCTTTGAATTTTAATGTAAATGCATCGAATTACAGTGGTTAGTACTCAAGATTGCCATTTATATTTCCCTGCCAATTGATGTTGTCGATGATGTTAGAAATAACTTAGGATCACATATCCAAATTATTAACATAAACTTAATCTACAGGCTGGACCAACTATTACTATTCTATTTACAGATGTAACAAAAGACCTTGATAATTATTATACGCCATAATAACAAGCAAACTACTTCAATAGTGACCTTGATAATGATTTGTCTTATATAGCTGTAGCCTGTAGCAATTATATACCATAAATAGTAGTCATAAGAAGTACTCATAATGTGGAGAGTCCATATATGCACAACTTTTAGGTAACAAAACCTTACATTTTTGACGTTTTTAACTCGAAATGGTTTATTAACAGGAAAGTCTGTCAATAACTAACCCCCCTTCCCAGGGAACAAAATGTGCATTAGGATGTTTCTTGCTGAAAAGACAGCAGGGCTTTTAACAGAGGATTTATGGAAGACAATATATTATACAAGACAAATATGTTGGGATAGACCGCAGCAAATTGTGTGTAATACTACTATGATGGACATTTGCAACTAATGTACTCCATAAATATTGTTAAAGACAAGATCTAATGTACTCCATAATGGCTGTGTTCTTGTAATCTTTGTTTAACAGACATACAACAAGAGAAGCTCTATTATTAGTTGGCTAATTAAATAAATTCCGAATTTATGAGCCAGTATTCTAGCTATAATTTCCCATGTATGTTCACAAAGAGCCACGCGATGTATGTGCAAAACGTGTTTGAGAAGGATATCAGTTTTCACTTTCGTAAAAAAATCAATTGAGTGTAGGCATGAAATGGGTGCACAATTGTATGAGTACCGTGCATAACCCCCATGCGTTAAACAGAAGACTCCTATACAAAGTTGCCAAAGTCATTTTAAAAGGTAAAAAAAATGATAACAGGCCTTTTTTCGGTGACTTCTAAGCAAAGCACTACTTATAAAAGGCTTTGTTCAGTTAAGCTTTTCGTTTGTTTTGTTTCCATAAGAAAAAGGGCACCTGTGAAAGCTAGCATATCATAAGTTTCTCCAAATGTAGAAATCAGTATGGTCTAATGTAGCACAAAGTCATAAAATAAACATGCACTATGCATAGTGTTAATAGTCATTGATATACATTTTCAAATTTCAACAAACATGTGATGTGCTCCATGATAGAGAAATTTAGGGTACATGTGATTGATAATGAGTACATTTGATCAAAAGACGGCATTGGACAGTGCAGATGTGCTGGTGGCCATACACTAGCACAAGACGGCATTGTTGGGTTGTGCAGGGCTAGTTCAAGCCAAATATCCGGCTAGGCATACTATACCTAGTCTTGTGACATGGACAAAGTCGTTTTAGGTGATTATTCTTTTTATGTAGGAAAATTATACATATATTCTATTTTTATCAATTTTGCTAGTAATTTGATTAGTTAATGTAATTCCATTCCTAAAAATTTTATTCTGTATCCAAAAAAAAAAAAATAAAAAAAATCACAATGTACACTACACCATAACAAATAATGTTGAAGCCCTTAAATGATTGATTTGGACTCTTCATGATATATAATGTAATACGAAGAATAACTTTTTTTAAGGGTTAAGAATTAATCAAATTAAAACCACGATTAGGAGTTATAATTACTCATCTCATCATAACGTGCACTAGTAATAATGTGATTACGTGAACCGATCAATAATTTCAGAATTTCATAACTCCACCATAATTTCATGATCAATTCTACTTTAATTTCTACTCAAATTTTTGTAGTATAATAATCTGTGCTTAGCATTAACTACCAATTCATAGTTATTGTAACAGATAGAAAATAAAAACAAATTAAAGAAGCAATTAAAGTGATTGAGTTATAGAAAGAGCGTTACTGATGAAAAGCTCGGGGATTACGGTAAATGAAAGTGGAAGGATTATTCAAAGTTATCGATCGATTTCTTCTATTCCAAGCTGCCTTTTCTCTTCGAATCGCCGCTCGTGCTCTTGCTAATCCTTCCTCTACTCCTCCCTTCTTTTTCCTCTGAAATTTCATAATTTTCCGTTATTAGGAAAATGATACACATTTAATTATGGACCGACCTTACAATCAAGCTAAGGCTCCGTTGAAGAAGCTAAAAGTGAAAAGATTAAGTTAGACACGTGATTTTGTTATAAATTCATAAACTGATGCGGATTATTTAAATATAATTATACTTAGCTCTTTGGACCGCATACACAAAAATCGATTGCAACAAACTAGAGAGAGAAAAAGTGTACGGCGGTTAGAGTTGGACAGCTTAAATCAACATTTTGACAAAATTTGTGCGCGCCAAAATTTGGTTTGCAGAATTGTGTTTGAGATTTTTTTAACACATTGATGTTTTTTCAAAGGTTATTAATCAATATAAGCATTAATTTCGTAAATTTGAAGCTAATTTAAAAAATTTACACTCTCAGAAAATTTAGAAAAATATACAGTCTCATTACAGCTGTAATTTGAAACCGTTCTAGCATTAAATCACATAATAAATTCAAGATTCTCAATGAAATAGAATTAAAATTAAAGATCCTCAATAAAAATTGACATTGAAATTCTTGTAATCATAGCAGAGTTAGAATTCAAAATATAATTTCAGGTCAAAAAACAGAGCAATTTCGGAATTCTTAAAACAGAGCATCAAATTCTACCAAAACAATCAATTTCCTCAAATTCAAATAAAAATCAAAATCAGTAGCTAAGAGATAGAAAGAAAGAGATACCGGAGCGAAGCGATGATGAACGGAGGAGTTGGAGGAGAGAAGAGGAGGAGAATCGGTAGAAGTAGCGACGCTTTGAAGTTGAATGGCGGAGAAAGAGAGCTGACGAAGCTTCGGAGCGCCGCCATTAGAAGCGTCGTCGAAGCTCGTCGAAGAATAATTTCTGCCATGGATGCCAAAGACGGCGAAAGTGATGACTAAGAAGGAGATAATCAATGTAATAGTGTTAGTTGAAGTGAGAGAAAGCCACAATTTCTGCCATTTCTCCATTGATGAGGTTTACTAAGCTTTCTCTCTCTATAATTTTAGTGAGAGAAATGGGTTTGAATGAGGAAAGAAAGAGGGAGATGAAATTTTACATTTATAAAGAGGTGAAGAAACGAATTGGAGTATTTCTTACTCCAATTAAGAACTTGAGAGTGAAGAGGTATATTTGCTTTTATTTATTTTTCTTTTTTCTTTATTTTCCTTTTTTCATGTTAGGTGATTTAATTAAAGTGCATTTGTAACCTCTCTACTCTCTAGTCCTCGTATTATATTTTCCTTTTGAGAAAAGTAATAAATAAATTTGGAGTACAAGTAATTTTTTATTATAATAATGAATTATTGTAATTCGAGTATGTTATGTTTGAAGATGACGTAGTTAAATTAATTTTAGTTTGATTTAATATTGTTAGCTTGGAGTGATTCCATTGATTAAATATATATACGGTTAAAATCGGGTTACAAGAGTGAGTCCTAAACACGTTAGGAGATCTCACAAGATAATTACAGAATATTAACAAACTATATCCTTCTATACAAAATAATATCGAGAATATTTATCATATTCTATCAAATATCAAAATGCAAATGTAATAATCCAGATAAGAGCGAGGCAACCTCTAATACTACATACAGAATTTCGTAATAAAAGCTTGATGAATTTTACACGCTCCACTGCGATAAATTAATGTAGCAGCCTATAGGAATAGAGGTCTGCTACTCTATTAGTCATTTAGTTTTGCATTGTACTCTTGTAAAGCCTAAAGAAAACCCTAAATGCTTAATTAGTATGTAGTGTTATGGTATTTGAGAATTTAGAACTTATTGTTCCAACCATTTATGTCACCTTAGAAGATACCAATCCAATAATCATGCAAGAAGATCTTATTTCCAAATTCCAAGATTGCATTATAGAATACAAGTATCTAGTCAATAAGCTAAGTGAGATATTTAACAAATATGAATAATGATTTTAAAGGGAATTAATATATTTTTTAAGAAAGTACCTGTTTGGGTCCAATTTAGTCCAATTGGGCCTGGTCACTGAATGATCCAATTAAAAGCCCAAGGCAAAGGTTCAACTCTCCAAATATGCTAAAGTCAAAAATCAACATCCTCAAAGCCATGTCAAGGTCAGTCAACGGCCCAATCAGCTTGGCCCAGCCCAACTGATTTCCGGGCCGAATCCGCCTCCTTCATTAGCCAAGGTATAAAAGCCAACAATTTGGTCAATTCTTGGTAAGAGGAAGACAAAAAAGACAAAGACAATAAAGCCTCAAGCAACTAAACTCTTGCACAGCTTTCTCTCTCTAATATACTGACTTAAGCATCGGAGGGGCCTTCCTCGGCGTCCCCCCCGAGGCTAGTTTACGTGTATTTGTTGTGCAGGAAACCCTCGGCTCCTGCGTCGTTCGGACCGAGACCAAGTTCCCTCAAGATAAAAGGATCTTCCGAGATTCGATTGTTTTCATCCGAAACAATTTGGCGCCGTCTGTGGGGAACGCTACTAAATTTCGCGTCAGTCATCAAACACTCCGGCAGTCGCCATGACTAAGAGTGGAAAGAGTTCCAAGAAGGCTAAGAAGGGAGGAGGCCGGATTACGGTGAGGGAACGCCAGCCGGTTTATCCCTCCCCGGAGCAAGCCTCTTCCGAATCGGAGGCCCCCATTTCTCCGGAAAGGGAAGCCTCAAGAGGTCCTAGCCTCCAGGAGGAGAACACCTCGCACCACACTCGGCAGCCGGGGCCATCCCCGAGACCGAGTGGCTCAGGTGCGAGGAACTCCCCGCCGCGCCATAGCGTGCAATGCAGGTCACATCCGCAGGAGACTCCTCCCTCCGGACCCTCCACCGAGGAAGTGGCCAGAGCAGTGGCCATCTGCATGGAGTTCCTTAAAGCTCAAGGGGCTCCAATCCAGATGCCTGATGATCACCAGCCGAGAAACCTGAAAAGGAGGATCGGTCAGGATGATGGTGGACAAGTTCCACCACATAGACAGCTCGGCCAGAGGTGGCGAGGGGACACCCGAAACTCCAGTAAGGAGAGGAGGAGGAACCCTCAACCCTCTGACCACTCTGAAGCTCAGAATTCTATGGGGCCCTCCAAGGACCCGGAATTCGCCCGCCGAAGCATTCACGAACGCTTGGGTTCGAGGGAGGTGAGTGTGCATAGCCGCCTCACCTTCCCAGAGGATACCGGACCCCACCCAACCTTGTCTCAGCCGGGGACGAAAACCACTTCCACCTCTGTGAGAGGAGGGAGCGAGGTCCCTAAGGCCGGGTACAAGGGGAAGGCGGTCATGGTTCCATCGAACTCGCCCTTCCGGAAGTGGATTCTGGAAGAGCATGTGCCAACGGTCAAAATCCCGGCACATATTACTTACGATGGTACCTCAGATCCTAAGGATCACATTGCCTCTTACGAGGGGCACATGTATCTGAACCCGAGGTCTGAGGCTACCTGGTGTAAATACTTTCCTACGACCCTCAAAGGTGTTGCCCAATCCTGGATCACCAAAGGGCTCAAGGAAGGCTCCGTAACCGGTTGGAACGACCTCTCCAACAAGTTCAAGAGCAAATTCTCTACGGCCAACCGCCGAGAGAAGACCACTGCAGAGCTAATGAGTCTGCAGCAGGCGGAGGACGAGAGCCTCCGCGACTATCTGACTCGCTTCAGCAACGAGTCATCCGGAATCACAAGCCTGGATCAAGGCCTGGCCGTGTTCGCGCTACGGAACGGCCTCCAAGCTGGAAAGTTCCTGGACTTCATGGTCATGCATCCCCCGCAGACCCTGGAGGAAGCCTTGGAAGCATCGGATAGGTTCATCCGAGCCGAGGAGTGGAACAGATCCAGGTCTCAGTCTCGTCCGAGAATTGAGAAGCCGAAAGGGCAGCAGCCAGAAGTCTCGGCGCAGAGGAAAGGGAAGGCTAAGGCCTCAGAACCGTCCTCTGCTGCCGAGCCGAAGAAGGAAAGACACTTTCCCTACACGGGAAGGTACGATTCATACACTCCACTCTCCCTTCCCCGTGCTAAGATTTTCAGCACGGCGAAGGACGAGGGGAGATTCAAAAAACCTCGTCCGTTGCCTCCCTGGCATCAGACGAGGGGAAAGGACCAGTGGTGCGAGTTCCATGACTCACCCGGACATCGCACCGAGGACTGCGTCCAGCTGAAGGACCAGATTGAGGATCTGGTCCGCAAGGGGTACCTGAGCCAATACCTCGCGGACAGGCGCGAGGAGAAAAAAGCTGAAAAAGATTCTCGGCAGGACCTCAACTTCGCTCGGAAGAAGGATAAGGGACCTCAGGGCAAGGAGTCCCTCGACATCCTAGTTATTTCCGGGGGAATCTCGCGAGGCACAGCCAAACGCCAACTGAGGGGTCTAACCCATCAGATTCATCAGGCTGAGCTTCGGCGGTCCCAGTCACCGGCGCCGAACATCCTGTTCACAGCCGAAGACTGTGAGGGGGTGGTATACCCCCACGATGACCCACTAGTAATCATTCTGGGCATCGCCAACCGCAACGTCTGGCGGACCCTCGTCGACGGCGGTAGCGGGGCGAACATCCTCTTCCGAGGAGCGTTCGACCAGCTGAGGATGGGAGCCGAGCACCTGGACCCCGCACCCTACCCGGTGTCTGGGTTCAACGGCTCTTCATCGTATCCCGACGGGAAGATTACACTTCCTGTCACCATCGGCGAAGGCCGAGCAGCTAGGAATATCATGGCCGAATTTTTGGTCGTAGATGCTCCATCTGCATACAACGTGATCATGGGGAGACCCCTCATTCACGGCATTCAAGGAGTCGTCTCCACGTATCATCAAATCATGATATACGTTTCAGACGAGGGACGCTCCGAGAAAATAAAGGGCAGTCAAAAAGAAGCCCGCCGATGCAATCACCTCAAGCCATCCACGTCTCGCCGAGGCGACCGGGGCGATGGGGAGGAAAAGCACCGGGACCGAAACGCCAAAAAGCCGAGAGGCTCAGACGTTTCGGCTAATGAAGCCCCAGACAACGAGAAATCTGATGGGGGCCAAAAGGCTGACTCCGCCTCAGAGCCGAACGACTCTGATGGCCAGCCGCGGTCAGGAAAGTCTGCTAATATTGATAGCAGGCCGGAATTCGAGGAATCCAACTCTAAGAGCATGGAGACGGATGACCTGACCGAGTCAATAGAACTGACCGTAGGAGATCCGAACAGATGTGTTAGCGTCGGGTCGTCACTGGAGCCAAACACCCGTGCGGCACTCGTCCAACTCCTACGGGCCAGTGGAGACGTGTTCGCCTTCTCAGCCGCAGAAATGCCCGGGATTGATCCGGACTTCGTCTCCCATAGGCTTAATGTCGACCCCTCCAGTCGACCCATTAAGCAGAAAAAGCGGAACTACTCCGCTGAAAAGAACCAGAACATCGCAGCTGAGGTCGATAAGCTCCTAGATGCTGGGTTCATTGAACCCTGTCAGTATCCGGAGTGGCTGGCCAATGTTGTAATGGTTCAGAAGGCAAATGGTAACTGGAGGATGTGCGTTGACTTCACGGACCTGAATAGGGCATGTCCCAAGGACTCCTATCCGCTGCCGAGGATCGACCAACTGGTCGACTCGACAAGCGGGCATGCTCTGCTCAGTTTCATGGACGCATTCTCGGGATACCATCAGATCTTCATGCACCCCGAGGACCGAGCTAAAACAGCGTTCATAACAAGTTCCGGGTTGTACAATTACAGAATGATGCCCTTCGGATTGAAAAATGCGGGGGCAACATATCAGAGGTTGGTTGATCAGGTTTTCGCCGAGCAAAAAGGCCGAAACATGGAGGTTTATGTTGACGACTCAATCGTCAAAAGCATAAAAGAAAAAGATCATGTCACGGACCTAGCCGAAACCTTCGCCACCCTCAGAAAATACAAAATGAAGCTGAATCCGAAGAAATGTGTCTTCGGCGTGAAGTCAGGCAAGTTCCTCGGCTTCATGGTCAGCAAGAGGGGGATTGATGCAAACCCCGCCAAAGTACAAGCTGCTTTAGACCTCCCCGAGCCGAAGACAAAAAGGGATATTCAGCGTCTAGCCGGGAGAATGGCTGCCTTGTCCAGGTTCATCTCACGAGCCTCAGACAAAGGGCTCCCTTTCTTCAAGGCGCTGAAGCTCCAAAATTCAAAAGGCATTGAATGGGGAGACGAACAAAAGTCAGCCTTTCAGCAGCTCCGTGAACACCTGGCTCAACTCCCAACACTGGCAAGGCCAGTCGTAGGAGACATCCTATACTTATACGTGGCGGTCAGTCCAGCCACGGTAAGCGCGGTGCTGCTAAGGGAAGAAGAAAAAGTTCAACAGCCGATCTATTTCGTCAGCCACACCCTGACGGATGCCGAGACGCGCTACCCATTGTTAGAAAAAGTGGCTTATGCAGTGGTGGTGGCTGCTCGGAAGTTGCGACCCTATTTTGATTCTCATCAAATAGCGGTTCTAACTGATCAGCCGTTAGAGAAAGTCCTCGGCAAGGTTGAAAAATCCGGTAGACTAGCAAAGTGGGCTTTCGAGCTCACCGA